GCAACAGGGAAAGGGAAGGAGCCCTTACTCGTGTCTCCCTGCACAGGCAGCAAGCCAGGAACATTCTGCAGCCCAGATATCAGAAGGTTTTCGGGAAGGAGGTGAAATATTGTCTCCAAGGGCTGGTGGGGCTTCAGGGAGTACTGCAGGTGGCTCTTCTCCATCACTGTCAGGTATTTGTTCTCTGAAGAAGAGAAAACATCCCCAAATTACTAAAACCAGGGGAGACAGCTTCACAGTTTAAGAAATCACTATCCATGAACACACATGTTGGGAACAAAGCAAAACCTGGGTTTGGCCAGCCAGGGTCTTCCCATCTGGCCCATCCACTTAGCACTACCAGGGCACGGACCACCAACCAGACACACACGAATTTATAGTTCATTCCCTCCATCATTTTGCTTTGAAAACCTCCACCTCTGTGAGCTCTGGCCCACAGACAGAGCAAAGCTCATTTAGATAAGAGGAGTCACCAAGAAGAGAGTGAGATGCAATATCTTGCTGTTACTCACTTTCCATGGGGTCCTGAAAGCGTGGGTGCAGCAGAGCACGTGGCGTCCCATGGTACAGCTTCAGCCTGAAAGCAAAGAGCAGTGGTCAGTAAATCCACCCTGAAACATGACTTCACCTTCCACAATGACTCTGCTCAACTGTAAGAAACTGCCCTCCCATGCTGCTCCCATGGTAATAACCCTTTATCCTCTAGGGAAAGGACAGGCACTGCTCACAAAGCCCCAGCAGTGAAGAACACTACTGTCCTCAGTGCCAGCGCTGCTTCCGCAGCCCCAGGACCCCCCTTTCTCCCCAGGAACACCCCTTCTCCCCCCTCAGCCTCCATGCACATTGCCACCCCAATTCCCAGCATGTCCCATCACGCAGCAGTGGAGGGGACCTACGCTCTGTCCTCGGTGACTGGGTCTGTCGCCTCGGACCCGCTGCCAAAGATGGGGATGATCCCAAAGCCGCAGGAGAGGTGCTGAGAGTCCCCATCCCCCTTCCCAGCCGTGGTCACCACTTCCACAACAGCAGCGATGGCAGGGTGGTTCAGGGAGGTGTGGAAGTAAACAGTCTGGGATGGGAAAGAGAGAGAAAGGTTATTTCAGAGCTGAGGTAGAGCACTAACTGCTGCACCTGGACAGCCAGCAGCACAACCAGAACACCCATTAGAACTTCCAGACAGCAGCTTCTGGCAAGTGACCTGCAGCACTGCTCAGAAATCTCGACCTCCAAAGTCCCAAGCATCATTATCTTTTTTTTTGTGGTTAACAACCATTTTCCAGAGTAACTCACAGGCTGCAGACCCTGTAAGAGTGGGATTCAGCACACCCTTGACCCACTCATCATCATGAGCCCCACACTGGAAAAGCCAAAGGAGTTGGAAACCCTCCTGCTGCAGGGAGATAGGGGTGGCCTGGACCTGAAGGCAGGAGGGGACAGGACACAGGTCACCTCCTCAGGACAGGATTTAAAGCCAGGTTAATCTTTCTATTAAAAACTCATTACCGTGGTGTCCCAGGGAAAACGTTGACTGTAATCACAGGCTGTCAGGAAGGGATAACGGAGAGAGACATTACCACAGCAGCCCAGGGAAATAAATCCTTATTCTATTATCTTTTATTGCAAAACGCTGATATAATGACTGCTGGCTGCAAACCCATGGCTCACTGTGCAGTGACCTGAACTCTTACAACACTAAATGGATGAATGTCACGAAGTTTAAAGGTCCCAGCCCTCAGCTGAGGTGGCAGCTGGTCACATCACACCCACAGACCCCTCTCCTCTGCCTCATCATCGCCTCTGCGAGACCCCGAGTGCTGCGGTTGTGCCGTGAGCATGCAGTGCAGCCTGCCAGGGATGGGCAAGGCAACGTGGTGAGATGCAGCCCCCTCACACCCCAAAGCTCCTGCCAACCACTCCCATCCACAAACCAAACACCGGGAAGCTGCAGACGCAGGGATGCTGCTCGGAAAGGCGGCTCCCAGCCCGGGAGCAGCACCACGTTGCTCTCTCTGCAGCACTCGCTGCCATAGCTTTCCTCCATCCCTCTTCAAAAGAGCAGGGCTTGGCCAGTAATTCAAACATAAAACACTTCAGGAAGACATGCAGGAGACAACACCCCCCAGATATCATTTAAATAAATCAGTTTGTGCTGCACTCCAGTGCTTTGGAGGAGATGGAAACTAAAATTATAACTGGAAAACACGACACCTCTGCAGGGACCTGCCATCTCCTGCTTGGCCAGAGCTTCAGGGCAGCTGGATCTCCCCGGGGAGCCCCAGAGAACCCTGCAAGGCTCTTGGGAAGAGAGGGCACTCTGGTTTGCCGGCACCAGCAGCAGATGGAAGCATGGCTTTGGGTAAACTGCTCCCAGGCAAGGAGGGAAAACTGCTGCTCCTTCCCTTCCCTCCCGCTCGTGGAGGAACACTGCTCTCTGCCGCCAGCTCTGACCGCAGCAGGCAGCACACACACCCCATCACCCAGCCCCAGGCAGCCCCAAAACCCAGCTCCCCACTCCAACAAACTGGGCATGAAAGCTGAATAACCAGACAGTGTCTGGGATGCACCTGAACAAAGGATGTGGAGCTGGGGCAGGGAGAAGGGCTGGCTGCTGCTGCTGTGCCGGGAATGAACCGCTGCAGAGAAGGATGAGCGGCAAACCCAGCCTGTGCTCACTCCAGCCCTGCTGCTTTAACAGGCTCAGTGCTGACTGCAGGCTCCCTGAGCTCTCCCAGCCCAGCCTGACAGAGCAAACCAGCACCAGAGGAGAGCAGCTCCAGGCTGAACTCGAGCAAAGACAGCTTTTCCCCTCATGCATTAAAAACCTCCCTGGCTCCTGCAGCTCTGGCAAGGGATGGCTGCCCCCACCCACCTCTCACTGCCCCTTCCCCAGACCCAGCTGGCACAGCCACTCCCCTGCCCACCCCACACAGACCCCAGCACCCCACCTCATTGAAAGCCACCCTGGCTGGGCGTGGTGGGGTGCTGCGGGCAGCTCTCCGGCCGCTCCTCCACGTCCTCCCGAAGAAATGGTGGTAGGTGGCATCGAAGAGGGAGAGGCGCAGCTGGTACTCGGCTCCCTGCAAGGAACAGGACAGGGGGCACTGGTGTTGGGGGCTACTCAGGGACACACTGGCTCATCAGCCCCAGGAAACACACTTGAGGAAGAGAGGACAGGTAATTCCTGTTTTCTAATTGATGCCCCAATCAGGCAGGTGGCTGTGCAGCACTGTGAGTGTTGCTGGGGAACCTGCTGGCAAGGCAGAGGCTCAACAAGCAAAGTAAAAGTGGGAAAACTGAATATTAAACAGATAACAAAGGGGCAGCAGACTTTTAAAGTGCTACCTGAGGATTTTTTAAATTAAAAATGCTTCCCTAAATTGAAAATTAACAAAAAATAAATTAATTAATTAAACACTAATTCAGGTTTGCAGGTAAAAGCACAGGGGATTGAGGCACAGCTCCAGTTTGGCTTTCCAGGAGATTTATAGTTCATTCCCTCCATCATTTTACTTTGAAAACCTCCACCTCTGTGAGCTCTGGCCCACAGACAGAGCAAAGCCCAGCAGCAGGCAGAAAGCAAAGGCTCAGCGAGGCAGCAGGGCCATCGAGCCCCCTTACCTGGGTGAGGGCAGCCCCTTCCAGGTGCTTCAGGACACAGCGGAAGGCGGTGGAGCCGGGCGGACGAGCCCGTCTGCGCTGGCAGTGCGGCGGGAGAGCGAGGTTCTGCAGGAACACCCTCTCCCACTCACTCATCCTGCTCCTCCAAGGTCACCTCTGGAGCTGGCTACGGGGAGCGCTGGGCTGGAGAACAGAGTAGGGAGATGCACACTCCAGGAACGCGCTCCTGGACCCCGGGGTCACACACAGGGACAACCCCAACGGGGCGTGTTTGAAAGGGCTGTGGGACCTGTGGCACCCATGCAGCGACGTGGCCTTCCCATGGGAGGGGGACAGCTTGACCGGGTGTCCCCCCAAGCCCCAGGGTACAACTGAGGGGTGACAAGGGGATGGGGAGCAGCCCCACCAGCCACTGCTCCTCCCATACAACAAAACCCATATGTGCAAGTACGTGTGTAGAGACCCACACGTGTATTGAGCCGGGCCAGGGAGGGGATGGTCCTGCT